TAGCTACCTTTTGAGGGCTTGCTATGCATGGTCCTTTACATACAGGACACATTATCTCCTGAAATCTCACACAGCCTTGCAAGGTAAGGAATATTCTATCCTTTCTGTGGATGAGACAAGACTTGCAGAAGTTGAACACCTTGCTCAATAAACTGAAAGGTGACAGAAGCAGGAATCATCTGCTCCTGCCTGGACCATCTGGCTCCAAAGCCTAAGCAGCTTTCCACTGCCCTGTGCTTTGGCCAGTGGTGAGCGGGGTCAAGGAACATCTATTCTTGCTGGATTTATAGGAAGCATTGGTCCTTTACTCAGCACAGCTGTGCCTGCCTCAAAGCAGAGCTTCCCTGACTGCCTCTGCCTCTTCTTTACAGCCAACTCCTTGCTTATAGTGGATTTAGGCTTTGCTTTATTTTAAACATTAGCACTTTCTTTTCTTCATTGTTTAAAAAATTATTTAAAAATAAATTCTAGCACATTATTTAAAAATTCAAACAATACTGAAGCTCAAAAAGCAGAAGTAAAAAATATCACTTTATATAATCTCCTGGTTTCAGCTCTATTCTACAAATGTAGCTACTATGAGCCATTTTATGAATATTTTTTCAGACTTTTCTATGTGTATATCTTCTATGTATATAAAAGCCTAAGTGACTGTTATGCCCAGTTGGCTGAATGACCGGTTGCTATGATGTTCACTGACCACCAGGGGGCAGAGGGCAGACACTTAATGCAGGAGCTGCCCCCTGGTGGTCAAAGAGCTTCTACAATCAACCTCTGGCAGCCAATCAACCTCCTACAGTCCCTTCTCTCCTGGCTGGCTGGCCCTGATGGGCCCCACGAGGGACTGGTCAAGACGGCCCCAATTGGCCCTATAGGCCAAGCAAAGGGACCCCACCTGTGCATGAGTTTGTGCACCAGGCCTCTAGTATATAATAAAAGGCTAATATGCAAATTGTCCCCTCGACCAGGAGTTCAACCGGGAATTCGACTGCCTGCCCCCCCCTCCCCCCCAACTCCGATTGAAGGTGAGACTGGCCTGTCAACCACCCATAGCCCCTCCCTCCACCTGGCCTCAGAGGCCTGGTGCATGGAATTCATGCTCAGGTGCAATTCTTAGGCCTGGCTGGCAAAATGTGAGCATCTGCATTTGGCATGGAAGGGCAGGTCCTACCTGACCTCTGGGCCCTGGGCAACACCTGGGCCCCCATGCTCCCGTATGCACACCCCTCTGTCTGAGTCCCAGCACACAAGTCCACATGCGGAGATGTGATGAGTGCAGTTGGCTGAGGCAGGCTGAGGCATGGGCCTCTGGGCTGCCCCGAAGCACTGCACAGAAGCCGGACAGGCAGAGCACTCTCTCAGGGCTGGCCTCACAGACTGGCTCCTGTGTGAACCCACAGGGAGCCTGATCCACCCATGAGGTCCTGGAGGCTGTGGCCTGGCTCACCGGAAAGAGGCCATGCAGGTGCAGGCCAGGCTCCTTCTGGGCGCCCAACACCTGAGCAGGTTTAGGGAGAAGGAGAATGCTTCCCTGGTGCTCGAGCCCTGGCATCCTGGGGGAGGGTAACAGGGAGAGTGAGAGCGAGCTCAGCAGACACCCCACATTCTCACTGCACCTCTGTCCTGTCACCCCCGCCCTCAGGTAGCCAGTGAAGGGTCGCTGATGCCTGCCATGTTCTTCATGACCCCCTGGTGGTCAGCGCACATCATAGTGAGCGGTCAAACTCCCAGTCAAGGGGACAATTTGCATATTAGTATTTTATTATATAGGATTGTGTGTGTGTGTGTGCGTGTGTGTGTGTGTGTGTGTGTGTGTGTGTGTGTAGGAAGCTTTTCTCACTTCTTAGAGTTGCCATAATCTATGTATCTTTATTCTAAATCATTGTCCATTCCAAAGCATAAGCTGTAAAGAATAAAATAAATGTACTTTTAAATTCCTCTGCATAGGCTTGACCGAAGGAACATCTATTTTGCTGGATTTATAGGAACACTTGAATTGGAGAAAGGGATGGAAGGCAGGATCCCTCTGGAGAGTCCACAGTCACCGAGAGGGGAAGAGCATGTGAGCTCCAGGGAGGATTGTGTGCTGCAGAGAAGCTCACAGGCGGTCAGCCTGACCTGCTGGGGCGTGAACACACTCCACGGGCTGTGAAACCACTCACGTGTGAGCTGTCTGGTGCCAGGGGAAGGGGGTTTGAAGAAGGGGAGGCAGGAGGGCAGAATGTGGGCTGGGCCAGTTTAGAATTACAAGTGCCACAGGGGAGTTGGAACCACACTTCAAATAGCCAGCACCTTCCCCTTCCCCCTTAGATAATTCTTCTCCCCGTGCCTGGACATCTGGCAGCAACTGCAAGAAGGTTAGTAACATTTTCTTCTCTTCTTTTTCTGTTTCTGGCTCTCAGGCTGCAGGTTGGTGGCATCCACAGGATTTATAATCAAAGGGGTTTCTGATGCTCTCCTAGGAAATGCTTCTGACATTTACGTGTGCCCATGCAAAGAGTATATGCTATTTTCTTTACTTTCTGAAACTTCAGTGGTTGTTGACTTATGGGACAATGTGATTTGGAAGAAAGAGAATCCTAGATTGAGAGGGAAGACATTTGGGTTTAACGCTAAGAAAATGAAGGCTTTCTTCTCTGTGAAACGAGTTAAGATAGAAGAACATAAAAAGTTTGATAGTATTGAAAGAAAAGAAAAATTTAAATACCTGTGATTCTACTAAGTGATTTAATCCTTATAGCTAAGTATATCCTGTCATTCTCACTGTAACGGATGAGGGATGAGCAAAACAAGACTCAGAGTACTTTTTTTGCTGAAGTTAGGCAGTAAGTGAAATGGCTCAAAGCTAAAACCTGAATCCAGGCTTGTTTGACTCTATTCCTAATGCCCTCTCAACTGCACGAGGCTCCCTCTGAGAAGCAGAACCCTAACGAGGCCAAGGGACCCAGGATAGGGCCACTGCTTCTTATGGGATCTGCGCGGATGATGAAGTGAAGGGAGATGGAATCCCACCCTCGGAAGACATCATCAGATGCTAAAGGGAGGCCCAGAACCAGCATAAACATTAGGCAACCTTCTCTAAACTATTGAAGAATCATCTTGGGACCAGCTGTTTTCATTTCTCCTTATTGCACTAACAACCTCTGGAGTCCATTCCCTATTTATCAAATCAACAAAGGCCCACTGTTTCCTGATGTTCTGGATCCCTCAGAGAGTCTGTGCCCAGCTGGGGCTCCTGCTGAGAAAGTTCCATTGACAAGAACTTTTCTTGAGGTATAGGAAAAAGTCCATTGGCCCACTTTTCCGGAAAAGGAGCCACTGTACACAATCAGGGGAGAGTCATTAGAAGATGCTTATATTCGACATGCTGATAAATCTAGGCAGCCAACATAATCAAGGAATGTAATTGAAAAAACAGGAATAGATTGGGTTGAGGTCCGGGCTGTGTAATTCCCAGCTGTATGGCAGCAGACATGCTGTTTAACCTCTCAGAGCCTCAGCCTCTGCATTTACAAAGCAGGGTAACACAACTTACATCTCAGGGTTGTTGTGTGGATTAATGTGCCAAATGGATGTAAAGTGCTTTTTCTGTAGTAGTTGCTCGCTATATATGAAGAACATCTAATCTTATCCTCAATTCCAATAACAGTCTAGAATAGGGCAGTGAAGGGTTTAGAATTCTTATTCTTTTATTCATTTTGTGTTATCTTCTCTACTGTAACAGTTTCCTACATTTGTTATCACCCAAAAAGAAGAGAGCCCAGAGTTCAGCTTTTCCTTTGGCTGGTTTCAGAGAGAGATGGATGAAGTAGCTGGAAAGATCAGCTCATCTTTTTTTTTTTTTTTTTTAATATATATTTTATTGATTTTATACAGAGAGGAAGAGAGAGGGATAGAGAGTTAGAAACATCGATGAGAGAGAGTCATCGATCAGTTGCCTCTTGCACACCCCCCACTGGGGATATGCCCGCAACCAAGGTACATGCCCTTGACCGGAATCGAACCCGGGACCTTTCAGTCCCCAAGCCAATGCTCTATCCATTGAGCCAAACTGGTCCCGGCAGATCAGCTCATCTTATACAGGGTTTCTGGTCCCACTCAACCTCTCTCATTGCTTTGGAAGTTTTTTTTTTTTTTTTTTTTTAAATCTGGTTTACAAAATAAAACATGTTTTTTGATAAAAAGTGTAGAAAATATAGATAAGAAAAATTCCTATAATCCAAGGAGAGAAAAACATTTTCCTGCACATCCTAATCTTGCAATGCATATAAATATAAAATATTTTCCAGCATAATCATATTGTATGACCTATTTTATAACTGTTTTCATTTCACATCTTATGAACAATTTTCATTCATTACACTTTTTCCTGCAGCACAATTTTTAATACTTATATAGTAGTCCATTGCGTGTATGTAATTATAATTTATTCATCTATTTACCATTCTTAAACATTTATGTACATTCTAATTTTTTTTATGTTAAAAAGCAATGAATATCCTTATGTCAAAATCTTTACCCACAGTCAGAATTATTTTTTTAAAATAAATTCCTGCAACAAAAATTGGTAGTTTTGAGGATTTATAAAAGTCCCATCCCTTCAATTGTCCCCAGCAAACAGAACAGAGAAACTGAAGCTCGTGCTAACACAGACAAGGGGATTGCGGGGTGGCAGGGAGGATGTAGACCCTCTGCAGCCTGTGTGAGTTCTCCCACGTCCACAGATCCCAACCCAAGAGCCTGTGAGGTGGAAGCAGCATCTGTACTTCAGTATAGGCCTTTCCTCCCGGCACAGGGAAGGAATCTATATTTTCAGCAGCAGTCACCCAGCCTCTACCCATAGGAGAGGCTAAGGAGGACCTGGGTGTGCAGACAAAGGGGCAGGAATGCTCTCTCTCCCAATGCACTTATTTCCTTGGACATTTGTTGGTGAAGGATGGGGAGCGCTTTCCTCCCAGAGTCCCCACGTGACAGAGTGCCCTGCTTGTCTTCCAGGAGGGATGGATAGCCGGGTCTCAGGCACGGCCAGCAATGGAGAGACAAAACCCGTGTACCCTGTCGTGGAAAAGGCAGAGGAAGATGGCACCCTGGAACGCGGGCACTGGAACAACAAGATGGAGTTTGTGCTGTCAGTGGCCGGGGAGATAATTGGCTTAGGCAACGTCTGGAGGTTTCCCTATCTCTGCTACAAAAACGGGGGAGGTGAGAGCCACTGCACCATCCACCAACCCTGGAAGGAGGTGTCCCCATCGCCTGCACTACTGCCCCTCAGAGCGGCCCCAGAGACACAGAGAGTGCTGGAGCTGGAAAGCCCTTCCTTAGAATTCATTAAGGACAATGCAGGAGTCTGAGACACATGGCGACTCTCCCAGGGGTGTTCCATTTTAGCATGGCACACGGAAATGGAGTGCAGGCTCGGAACCAGATGGACCAGAGTTTGGATTCTGGCTCTGCCACTTACTCTCTGTGTAATCTGGGGCACACTGCTTGAGTCCTCAGAGCCTCCACTGCTGCACCTGTGAAATGGAATGGTGATACCTGCAAGGTTGCTGTGAGGATTAGAGACAATGTATGCAAATGCTTAGCACATGGTAGCTATGTTGAAGATGATGCGAACGCCAAACTGTCCCACGATCTGGAGATTCCTTAGCCATGGCTTTGTGTCTTCCTCTGTTCTTCTGGGTCCATGACATCCCCTAAGCCATTCTCTGCTCAACGCCCACCAGTGTCGTAACCTTTGATTCTAGTGGCTCCTCCTTCATAAATTTCCCACTGAAAATGTGTGTGTGTGGGAAGCATGGACTCTAACTTCAGTTCTTTGCTGGCTTCTCATTCCCCTCCATTCTCACCTCTGGGGTCACTTACAGCAGTAGCGGTCATTTCCTGCCCCTTTCAGGGAATCCCAGCTCACCTTGGAAAGCCCCAGGGGGCTTTCTCAGGGAATGAAGGTTCTGGGTGAGCAGCTGCTTAGGAAGATTTCCTTGCTGATGGTTGGGCTCCCAGGTCTGGTTTTAAAGTGAGGCTGCAGTCGGAGCTGGAGGAAGGAGAAATGCAGAGGCAGGTCACAGGGGGATATGGTAAGGGGAGTAGTAATTTTACTGGCCACAAGGAGAGTACCCTAATGCAACACCTACCATCTTGCAGGATGAGTAGGGGCCCCCCAAATACATCAAGCTCAGTCTCACAATAGTTTTTGGAGAGAGAGGAAACCTACAACACAGAGTAGAGGTGGGAGGAATGGGGAAGAGCACAGAGAGTTGCTCTGAGCCCATAGTGTCATTCTCAGGATTGTGGCAACTGAGTGTTGACTGGCTCTGGGATTGGAGGCTAACTTGTATTTTTCCAGAGGGCTGGGGTGGGGGGCTGATATGACTTTTCTGTCCAGGAATTTCTGGCCAGCAGCCTGAACTCACAGGACTTTGTTCAGTCTGCATTGTGAAGGAAGAAGGGAGGGATTTTCACTTTTGACCTAGCCCTGGACACCCCACATGCTTGTTTAGGAATTTAGGCTGAGCACTTTCAGAGAATTGGGTGGCGGGAAGGGGCTAGCCGAGGAAGAAGGAGGAGCCTGTGGCCTAAGCTGGGTGTTGAGATTCTCTGGAACCTAGTAACCAGCTTAGCTCTTCACGTGGCAGCAAGCTTAGGCGGTGAGCAGCTTTCCCCAAGCCTCTCTGGAATTGGGTAAAGGTTGGCTTGGGAATTAGCAGAACTGGCATGAAGAAGTGGGAAAGAGTGATTCTCAGGTCTAGTATGAGACCACATGGTGAAGAAGGGGAAGCAAAAGGCAGCAGTGAGGAGCAGCGGTGGGGTGTGGGGCTCACCCTGCTAGGTTTGGCAGTGTTGGGGTCTGGGCTCTGCCTCAGGGCTCTGGGGTAAGTCTGTGCAGACCTGGGTGGAAATGCAGGCCCAGGAAGAAGAGTATCCAGGCTCCTGGTTTTTCACATGGTGCTTGCAGGGGAGGTGGAGGCAGAAGGGAGGCTGCTGTGGCGGCTCCCTCCTGGATAGAGCCTGCCTCCAGCACGCAGACCACCATGGACAGTGGAGACATTGCTCTTTATTGGCTCCTACGCCACCAGCCACAATCCCTCCCCTTGGTCAAGGGCAGGGCCTTAGGACCCTGTTTTCCTTCCCTGGTGAATGACGGCAGCTGGAGGGAAGAGTTCTGAGGGGCTTTGGAGCTGGAGGCCAATGCTTAGCTTTGCTGAAGGGCATGAGTCATGGGGCCACCTGGTGAATTAATGAAAAGGCACCTTTGCCAAGGTAAGGGGGACTAACCAAGGATGCATATGGTCATTAGAGGAACCTAGACATGCCTGTCTTTCTGGTTTTGGGTGCTCCCAGTGGTTTAACTCCTCTGTCATCATTTAACTCTCCTCACCTCCCAAGCAGTACAAGCTTTTACAGAGAACGGGTCCGAGCACTTCTTGTCATCTCCTTGTCTCTTTGTCAATATGAGACTGTTTCTTTAAAAAAAAAAAATTGTTTAATCCTCACCTAAGGATATATTTTTTCATTGATGTTTTTAGAGCAAGTGGAAGGGAGGGAGGAAGTGGGCAAAGAGAGAGAGAGAAAGAGAGACAGAAACAAAGAGACATTAATGTGAGACACATGGAGATTAGTTGTATCCCACATGCACACCAACCGAGGCCAGGGATTGAGCCTGCAACCCAAATAGGTGCTGGAGAATAGACCTGCAGCTCTCTCATGTGCAGGCCGACATGCTAACCACTGAGCTGCCAGCCAGAACTATTTTGTTTTCTTTTAATTTTATGTTTATTATTGAGAGTACTAGAAGGGAGGTGTCCCTCAGCCTAGCCTGCCCCCTCTCACAGACCAGGAGCCCTCAGGGGCAGGGGATGACCCAGCTAATAGGGTCACACCTCTGCTGCTTCCACTGCCAGCAACTCAAGCCTTGGCTGGCCCTGGGCAGCTGGGCAGCCACCATCTGAGGCTTGCCTGCACCTTGGGCCAGCCCTGGGCAGCTGGGGGGCTGAGGGAACGGGGGACTCTGGAGGCAGGAATGTGGTGCTGCCCCAGTGGGGCTAAGGGGACTGGGCGCCACCATCTTGAGGCTGTGGGCGCTGCCATCTTTGAGGATGTGACAGTCAATTAGCATATTCCCTCCTTATTGGCTGTGGGTACTGCTATCTTTGTGAGAACATGATGGTCAATTAGCATATTACTTCTTTATTAGATAGGTCTATAGATGTCCCTCCATTTTCCCCTTTTGACCCCCTCTGACTGGTACCTCTTTATGACAGGACCTTTGCTGCCACTGTGAGGAAGGAGGAGGAAAGAATGGACACCATTTAGATTGGTTTGTCCCCTTTTCTCCTGGTGTTGTTTTATTTAAACCTGAGGTCCTCAGATTGGGGCTCAGGTCTCAGCGGGTGAGGGGACTGTTCTGAACACGTTCTGAAGAAGGATGCTGGGTGCTGTGGGTGTACTGTGCTGAGGAACGTGTGCTCAGCCTGCCTCTGACAGCACCCATCCTTTCTCTAACATCATAGCTTTCAATAGCTGCTTTTGTGCTTTGGGGTGAGGATAAGCTAGAGACTTTATTATAATTAATATTTGTTCGGTGGCGAGGTCAGGGATGAAAAATTCCCGCAAGCATAATTTAGTTCCAAACTAGGAATATAAGTGACGTCTCCTTCTGTTCCCTGAAGTCTAACATTTGCTAGATCCAATCTGAAGTGAGTTCCAGAGCAAGAAAAGGGCTGAGGCAAGATTATGATCAGAGAACAGGTAAAGATTATACATTGTAGCTGTAAACCAGAGAAGCTGAGAAAGTGGTATAAAGGCCATCCTGCCCTGGCCGGGTGGCTCAGTTGGTCTGTGTTGTACTGTACACAAAAGGTTGCAGGTTCCATTCCTATTCAAGGTGCATATGGGAGGCAAAAGATTAATGTTTCTCTATGTCAAAAAAAAAAAAAAAAAAAAGAAAAAGAAAAAGAAAGAAAGAAAGAAAGAAAGAAAGAAAGAAAGAAAGAAAGAAAAGAAAAGAAAGAAAAAAGAAGCCCATCTGAAATCAGAATCGACTAGCAGGGTTTTTAGGGAGAGAGATGGGAGGGCTGCCTGCTCCAATGTCCTGGCAAACACCCTCCCTCCAGGACCTGTGGCCGATCCACTCCAAGCACCTGCCTCATCCTAATGGTTTTATAGAGTCTCCAGTGTCAGTCAGGTGCCCCGTCACATAGCCTAACACCCTGACCCTGACCCTGTCATTCAGTAACAATTACTGAGTACCTAACTTATGCCAGGAATTATTCTATGTGGTTGGGATGCATTTATAAACAAAAAGACCAATTCACTGTCCTTGTGGACTTATATTCTAGAAGAGGGAGACAGACAATAAACATAGGGAATAGGACAGGTATGCAGCCTATCAGAAGTTAATGAGAGCTATGGAAAAAGACCAAGAAGAGCTGGGTAAAGGGGATCGGAGTGTAGGTGGGTTGAGGACATTGAGAACAACGAGGGGAGTGGTAACGTTCACGTTGAGAACACTGGAGCAAAGGCTTGCTGTGGTGGGAGCGTTGACCACGTGGTATAGGGGTGGGGAAGGAGGGAGTGCTTCACGCAGAGGAAACAGAGGTTTAATGGTCCTAAAGCAAGAGGCTGACTGGCTTGCTTGAGGAGCTGCAGAGAGGGGAGTAATTAGAAGGTGAGGTCAGAGAATGAAGTGGCAGATTACGTGGGGCCTTGTCAGCTTTTGTAAGACCGGCTTTTCCTCAGTGACATGGGGAGTCATAGCAGAGTTTTGAGCAGGACTGGCATGATCTTACATTTTATTTATTTATTTATTTATTTATTTATTTATTTATTTATTAATATATTTTATTGATTTTTTACAGAGAGGAGGAGAGAGGGATAGAGAGCTAGAAACGTCAGTGAGAGAGAAACATCGACCAGCTGCCTCTTGCACACCCCCTACTGGGGATGTGCCCGCAACCTATGTACATGCCCTTGACCAGAATTGAACCTGGGACCTTTCAGTCCGCAGACCGACGCTCTACCACTGAGCCAAACCGGTTTCGGCTACTCATTTATTTTTATTTATTTATTTTTAACATTTAAGAAACGATATTCTTTTTTTTTCTTTTTAAAAAATATATTTTTACTGATTTCAGAGAGGAAGGGAGAGGGAAAGAAAGATAGAAGCATCAATGATGAGAGAGAATTATTGATTGGCTGCCTCC